AGCAATGCTGTACGCACGAAGGAACGTTGACTCCAGCAACTAGAGCGTGGCACCATCCGTTCTTTTATCACCCCAAGACCCACTGACGAGCCCCAGCTGCATCGTTAATCTTGCATTCCGAAAAGACTCACAGAAGACTGCTGCTGAGTCACAACACAACACTATATGATTAGTGCTAGTCTGAAGGCTAAATCCCCCAAAATGCAGCATTTACACACACACACACACGCACACACAGAGGCTTTCAATATTCTTCACAATAAGTAGTTACATTTTAACCTTTGTGTCTAAATTTACATCATTTATTTTATTTATATTTTATTTAATATAAAATATATCTCATCCATCTCACTACTGACACAGTTTTGGATTTCATAATTATAACCTTTCTATAAATCTAACCTGTGTAGTCATCAAAACCATAAATCACAAGTTCATTCCCCCCCCCAATTTTTACGCAAAAATACATACAGTAAGAGGTTTCCAGTCACCAATACATGTAGATAGAGTCTTTTCTCTAATCAAAGAAGTTAGTTTGTCTATGTCAGCAAGATCTGTCAATTTCACCAATTATTCCTCCATAGTGGGTAGTGTTGATTCCAGATGCAGCTACAAATTGAATGGAGTCATGGGAACATTAACTTTTGCAAGACTTAATGGATATTTAATAAGGGACAGGATGGGTAATTTTGTACTCCCTTAATTGGGATTGCAGCACTGGAGCTATTGATACCATTGTGTGGAGCAAGAAAATTAGCATCTTACATGAGAAGAATTCTATTAAAGGTTGTTTACTCTGGATGTTTATGTGATGGCCAGTTCAGATAAGGTCTGTTCAAACTGGATGCCCGAGTTTACTTAAGACACACCCTTATTTTATATGGTCTTTTGGGCTTGATCTTACCAGCCTTCTCTTCCTGCAAAAGTCATTGTGTGTGGACGGATGCCTGGGCAAGGTTCATTTTATATTATGTGGCTGTCATCACTACTCAGCTCAAGCTGAATAATATACATTACATGCAATGGATCCAGCCAAAGATTTTCATTTTAATAGAATGATTTGCAATGTGAAAAAGTTACTCTAGCCTTAGGCAGCTGATGAGCAGTAGGAAATGGGACTAATGATCTGCTGTCATAAAAGTAACCATAAGTGATTTAGAGCTATCAGCCAGTTGTCCTGGATGAGAACTGGGGAGTTAAACAAATAATCATCTCTCTTACATTGCAAGTGGTAGGATTTTAAAATGCTAAAATATAGTTAGACTGTATCCATTATTAACAGACATAAAGTATGGAGAAGATTAATATATACTGTAGCTATGCAACTTAAGAATGTATGTTTCAATAACTATTTTCTGTAGCCTGATTCTTTGGATATTTATTATGGAAAAATACCTTTTATAGTTAAGTACCATGGGGCTTATCACAATAAGTTCACTGCTTTAATTTTGTTAAAGTAGGGTTTGACAAAATAGTCTCCATGGCCAACAAACAGTTCTCAAAGATTTTGCAAGAGGCAATCTTGAGTTTATCTCGCAATAATTCCCTCCCTCCCTCCCTTCCATGTAGCAAACATCTCACTTCTGACTACATTTGTTATTTCAATTTATATCTTTCCATTCTACCCATCAGGGACTCAACAATTAGAGCCGTGGTGGCGCAGTGGTTAAAATACAATACTACCAGCTACTTCTCCTGACTGCCAGCAGTTCGGGTCCCACCAACTCAGCATTTACTCAGTCTTCCATCCTTCCAAGATTGGTAAAATGAGGACCCAGATTATTGGGAGCAATATGTGGACCACTTAAAGAGGGCTGCAAAGCACTGTGAAGCAATATATAAGCCTAAACACTATTGCCATAAGTCCAATAAAAATAACTAGCAATATATTGATGATTTCTGGTGAGGACATGGTGAGTTAGATATCCCTGAAGGATTAGGGACAGCTTTACAGTGGAGTTTGGCAGTCAGAGGGTGAATCCTGACTAATGAAATCTCTCCACAAAAAGGAGAGATTGTGAGATCACCCATATGTACCATCCATACAGCAGCTCCTTGCCAGTAGACTGCAGGAAACAAGGTTTTGCAGTCAACTGATAAGCTGAATTAAAGGGAATCAAGAGATTGACCATTGGCTTACCTGATGGGTCCTTTTCTGGGTGCTGCTCTGGAGAATCCAAGCATGGTTAAATACAGCCAATCTGCCCAGGACTGAATTGAAACTTTAATCCACGCCTCTGGTGCCAGCTATTCTTCAGATTTTTTTCAATTCAGCTATGCCCAGTGGATGCACTTTAATCACAGTCATAATGTAGCTTATAGAGACATAGAATTTGGCTGAGCCTCATTTCTTAATCCTTCTTGGAAGTACTTTTTCCTGATTTTCAAAACTTAAAAACCTTTGGAACAGCAAGTTTTATGGAATTCACTGGATGAGTTTTCTTCAGTTCTCAGTGAAAGAAGCTTTAAGTACTTCTTTAAGTATTTAAAGAATTTAGAACTTAAAGAGCATTTGATGTTTAAGGACTTAGAAAATTTTTGTTTAAGTGGAATAAACACAAATGGTGATTAAAATGTTTTTTTTAAGTTTTGGAAAGTCACAAAGATCCAGATGGATTTGAAGACTTCAAAATAAATGTATGATATGATATGATATGATGGGTCTTTGAAGGTTAGATGCTACAGAGAACCAGAATGAACTATATATTATAATTGAAGAAGAAAACTTATATTTAATTTGCTAACACAGAATGGAGTAAAATATTTTAATATTAGATGCATTGAAGGTTATTTGTGAAAAATGGGCTCAGAAGTTAATTTTAAGTATGTCTGCCATGGTAGATAGACTGTATGCAAATGATGTTATGGAAGAAGAACGGATTCTACTGTACAAGACTGGAAATTGATCTGAATGTGGATTTGAAAATGCTAGGGTACAAGAATATTTAGAAAAAGATATACTGGATATACAAATGAATGATGCCATACCAGTTAAAAGGGACATCAAAATAACTTGGATCACAAGGAAAAAGGAAAAGAAATTAAGTTCTAGGACATTATTTGAAGGAATTAAAGACCAATGCTAATTTTTGTTAGAATAACCCTGAGACCAAATTGCATGTATTTATCTGCTACACTTCCCACACCAATTTATGTGCAGACATAACTTTACCTGCCTCCAATAAAAATAAAATCTGATATAAAATAAAAATAGCATGTTTCTTTCTGTCACTAACAGAATCAAATATCTGCAATGATTTCCATAAAATTTCCCCCTCCCAAATCTTGAGATATTTTTATTATTATTATTATAACTGGACATTTCAAAATGTATCACAAATATCAATGACTGGCTTTGATGGTTGATACGGGTTGCTTCCAACATCCTAGTTATTGACCAAATATCTTCTTAAAATGTACCGTATTTTTCAGAGTATAAGACGGATCTTTTTCCCTCAAAAAAGAAGCTGAAAATCTGGGTGCGTCTTATACACTGAATACAGAATTTTTGGCCTCCCGAAACCCTGCCCCCTTCACAAAATGGCCATGCATAGCCTTTAGGAGGCTTTCCTGGGGGCTGGGGAGGGCAGAAATGAGCAAAAAATAGACCATGTTTTGCTCAATTTTGCCCCCCACAGCCCCCAGGAACACTCTATAAGTCTCCTAAAGGC